CTTCCTCGTTGGGTTTTTTTGTTTCTTTATTAAAAAAAAAAAAAAAAAAAATCACTTTTGCAGCTATTTTACCCTATCAGTAGTGTCCTATTATTTGAACAATGACCTCATGCTTTTATCTTGAAGTAGCAAATTGTAAACACAAATACAAAAATACAGAGCTATTATAACCTTTTATGCGCACGGGAAAAAAAAAAACCCTAACAAAACTGAACAACTCAGTGCCCTAGCCTTTGCTAAACAAGTCACTGCCAAAATTTGTTTAGCTCTTTCTGTGCTAGAGACTTCAATAAGACTAAAAAAGACTCATGAAATTAACAAGCTGTAATGGTGTGAAAGCATAATGACACTTTCTGTCCACCCTTCCTTTAGCATTTACTGCTGGAGCTCAGAATAGGCTGTCAGAAAGTTGCCACTGCACATTACATTTCAAAGTCAGTCTTGGCTGAGGGAGAGGGTTAGGAAGAGAAGAGACTCAGTAAAATAAAGTTCTGAGGAAGACTTTGCTTTCTGATCAGATACAAATGCAATGGTTTCAAATACAAGAGAGAAGGCTTGTGTGAGAAAGGAGATGCTGGATTTGACTTAGACACACAAAACTACTGCAGCATATACCACTACGCCAGCATGTATCAACCCTGTCAAGTGAGCAAGCATACATTATCCATTAATCCATTATACTAGGTCCAGTTTGGTTAAATATGCTACTGGTATTTTTCTTAAGCAATATTAATATGACTATTGTCTAACAATTATAATGTGACATCGAAAATTACAAAGAAGAAAAATTCATTACGTATCTTAAAAGCATTCATAAAAGAAAGTACTGTAAGTTAGATAACATTAATAAAATTTGGATAACAATAACAACAACAACAGAAGAAGTCAACTCCCCCTTTTTCCTGTCATTGTAGGAGCATGATCTGATGCTTTGACACAGAAGATCTGAACAGCACTCTCCATAAATGGTAACATGTCCAAAAATTGTACAGGTTTTATTAATCAGGCAGCTAAAGACTAAACTAAACGCATTTTCCTACATACCCCAGATCTATCCCACCAAAACCTGAATTACCTTTTATTCTCACTTTTCAATTCATTCTGCTGCCTTTTCTTTTCCATCATTTTTCCCCATCTACTTTTTGGCAAGTCACGCTGAGGCAGTGGTATAGCATGTTGAATATAGAGATCAGTGAGTCCATCTTTGTCCCTCTTTACATCATTTTCGACTGGAATATTCTTCTGTGGGGAAAGGGGGAAAAAAAGTTACTACTATTATGGTAAATTTAAAGCATAAGCAACTTAATGGCCTAATTTCATTTTCCAAAAGTCACTCTCAAGAAGTGTACAGGGCATATATCGCAGGGTTTTGGTAGCAGGGGCCACAGGTGTGATCTGCATGAGAGAAGACCATGAACCTTCCTGTAGCAGCCACAGCTGTGTCCAGCTGGCTCTAAAACCTGTGTGAGCAACCTATCAGGCACCAAAACTTCAAGCAGAGGAGCACACGGTCCCTCTGTTCAAACATACTTAAAGAAGCAGCTGCTAAAGGCAGACAACACAAAAGGACACACCTGAGGAGACACATGAGGAGATATGCAAAGAGATATCTGGAGATAATGGAGAAAGAAACCATTACAGACACAGTCTCCTGTGCTGCTTGTTGCTTCACCAAAGGAATTGAAAGGGACTGAGCATAACACGTGACAGAAACAAGGAGAGATGAAAGCAGGAAGTGGGGAGGAGAGGTGTTTGACTGAAGTTAAAGGCTGGGAAAGGGGGGACGAAAGGTCTTTCCAAGCATTTGTTAAATGGTTTCTTTCTGCTGCTCCTTACTTTTTGCTCATTTTCCTCCACTGCTCCTTGTTTCTTACTCATTTGCTTCTGCTCCAGCATGGGTGGCCCACGGGCCACAGTCCCTTCAGGAGCGTCCCTGAGCCAGCATGGGTCCTCCACAAGCCGCAGTCCTTTCGGAGACGTACCTCCTCCTCTGGCAAGGAGCACCTTCCGTGAGCGTGTCTCCAGCTGTGGCCCCAGAAATATCACCTTCCACACACCTCACCACTTTTGTTATCTGCAAGTGTATCTCTTCAGAGATCTTCTCGTGTGTCACCTCCTGTGCGTCCCTTTGTGTCTCCTGCTCCTAGTGGCTGACGCTCCCTCCTTCTTAAATATGTTTGAGCAGAGGCACCATTTGTTTCTCTGACTGGTTGAGGCTTTGGAACGCAGTGGCTGTTATCATTTTTTCTCAAGTTGGCTGAACCAAGCTGTGATTGGTACAAGGCAGTTCATGGCCTCCACCCACACAGGTCACTTCTGTAGCCCCCCGCTACTGAAATCTTGCAATTTATGCCCAGTATAAGCAGTTAATAAACAAAGTCTTTAGATTACTATGCACATACTGTTCATGACTGATGGTTTAGTACACTCTTAAACACACCTTCCAACTACAATGTCAGAGCCCTCCACCATGCTCCTAAAAATAGGCAACTAGAACACACTGCAGTTCAAGCTTCCAGATGCAGAGATTTGCTTCTCCAGTTCCCAAAGCATACGCAGCTCTTATCAGAGCTAAGAGAGATTCGTAGTAACTATCAGTAACAACAGAATTTCAGTTTTCGTTCTAATCACATATAAGGTTAGGAAAGCAAACTCTTTTGGTACTTGCTGCCAAATTTATTAAAAAGGAAAAAAAAAAACCTACCGTCCTGCACACTAGAAGTCACTGATAGTAGACCAAATCCAGCAGCTGCTGGATTTGGCAACAGCATCATTATTTCATGATGGCTGAAATGGGCTTGAAACCTGTACACTTTTGTATACGTAAGCCACATGTACAAGAGTATGCAAAAATTCAGTGAGCTAACACAAAAACCTAAAATATAGGTTACCATTTGTTTTGTGCACTTCCGTTTCCAAATAAGGCAGCAGCAAGTATTTTAAATCACATCAGCTGAAACTAGATATGATCCAAAACTAGCTACAAAACCACATATTCCAGTCGTGCAGAGCTAAACACTAGCTTGATAGATTACCCAAGCTGTATTTCCTTTAATTCATCAGGTGAACCTGGACCCACTTTAACAAAAGAGACATCATCCTTCCACAGATAGTTCTGCTGAACGTGAACACTGTCTCACAGACATGTCAGCTTGGGTAAATTACTTGTACAGCCACACCAGTGGTGCTCAAATACTGTCCCTTTGCAAAACCCTGAGACACTGCTCAGGGCAGTTGCAAGCCTCCTTCAAGAAAGGACCCAGCGTGCAGAAGATGACATTTTGTTTGTTTGTTGTGGGGGGGAGGGCTTTTTGTTTACCCCTTAAATGCAGTATAAGCATTGAAAACTACAGAAAAACTGGAAAAGAGCGAGCTATAAAGGTGATGGAGTGGAAGGGGGGCGTTTCCCTGCAGAGGGAAGAAGAGGCGGAAAAACAAACACAGCGGGTCTAACACGGGGGACGA